AAAAAAAAAAAAACGAAAAGTTTCGACAAAAAGACGGAAAAATATCATAATGGCTTAAGCGCATTCCCCAGCTGGAAATTTCACAATTTTCAGATTCGTACTTAATAAAACTTGAGCTGAAGTACGAGCACTTTGCATGTCTGCGTTTGGGGTAGATGCAAAAGCAGTATCAAATCACTGTGAGTGCTTTTCGCCTGTGCTGCTTCGGTGGCAATATGGCTTTGCCGACTGCTGAGTTCCGATTATCAGCACTTTTAGAAATTCGTACAATGACTCATAACAGGCCAAGTATACAAGTAGGAGCCGCAATCTTCAGTTGTTTTTGGCTTACTCCTTTGGATTTTATTTCGAAACGCTGGATAAAACTACAAAACTATTTCAAAATCATCATTTGAGGAAGGAATTCATTCCAGAATTTGCCTTCAGACTATTTTCACCTCGGCGCTCGCAACCTCCAGGGCCGATACAGACCGTCATACAGAATACTCGAAAATATTAAAGCCAGGCTGAAATGCCCCAGGCTCGCCGGTGCGATCATGCGTTTTTGTGCCAAGCTAGCAGACCGTTAACAGCAGGGATGGTCCTGCGTTGTACTTTAACACTTCGACTCATATTGACTGTGTTTTGGCCTCTTCCCGCATGCAAGGAGAAGAGGGGCGGTTGGGATGCTGTTACATTATGGAGCCGCGTAGGCCTTTAGCATGCATGATTATCAGTTTTTTGCATGAAACTCTGCTATTTTCTCGGTGAATGCTCGTTCACCAGAAAAAATGCAAATTTCAAGGAAGTCCGAAGAGGATTATGAAATCTACAAAATGCACTCACTTCTGAGTTTGCGATAAAATTGAGTATTTGGCACGCCTGCGTGCACAGAATTTCACCTTCAAACTGAATTAAGATTACATACTAATGTGGAATATCCTTGCAACGTTTCAGCTTCGTAGCTTTTCTAGCAAGGGAAATAGGTACTTCGTTACTGATATCTTTGAAGTGCCCCATGTCGCGGCACAAGTTCAAAGCAGGACTCAATTTAGGTACACGATTTTATATATTACCAACAAATATTCTGACAAAATTTCATCCACTGCTTTCCGGCTGGTTTTCGAATTTGCACATTGCCAAGTGCGAACTTTGACCTAACCGTACGCACTGCACTAGCGTGCACAATGACTGAATTTGAAATCTTTAGCTCACACATGCTTATAGAATACTTCTGCAAAGTTTCAGCTTTCTATCCTGTCTGGTTCTCAAACCGTTCCCCGCCAAAGAAATTTGCACATTTTTTGGGCGGTCCCGCACGT